CCGCAGCCCGTTGGGGGGAGCGGCGGTGCCCCCCAGTGCGCGGGAGGCTGCGTGGTGAGAGGACAGGGTGCTGTCCCTGCGTGAGGTGACCCCGCCGTCACCTCTTCTCTCCCTGGAGCGAGGAATCGATGAGCGGTTCTGTGCCCTGGAGGAGAAGGAGCGAGAGCTGCAGAAGCTGCATCTCTGCGTGAGAGAGCGGGAGCACGACCTGCAGAGGCTGCGCGACGTCCTGTCCAGCAATGAGGCCACCATGCAGGTACGGGCGAGCATCCCCCGGGCGGTGCACCTGGGGACTGGAAGGGGCCAGGGAAGGCAAATCCACCAGAGCCCTGGGCAGCCGTGCCAGCGGTTAACTGCTAAAGCTCTGCCCTTGTTCCTGGCGGGGAAGGGAGCTTTAGACAAGCTCTCGACTGGAAGGGGCCAGGGAAGGCAAATCCACCAGAGCCCTGGGCAGCCGTGCCAGCGGTTAACTGCTAAAGCTCTGCCCTTGTTCCTGGCGGGGAAGGGGTAACTCCATGTGGCCGCTGTGGTGGCGCTTTCCTTAAGCGATGGTACTTGAACCCTGGGGACTCTGCAGAACCGCGTGGGCCTGAGCATGTCCCTGGCTTCCTGTGGCCCTAGAGCATGGAGAGCCTGCTGAAAGCCAAGGCGCTGGAGCTGGAGCAAGCCTCAGCAGCCTGCCAGACCCTCCAGCAGCTGAAAGAGGAGGTGGAGGCAAAGTCCAGCTGCTGGCAGAAGGAGCAGGAGGGGATAATGCAGCAGCTGCAGACCTCGCTGCACGACAGGAACAAGGACGTGGAGGTAAGGCCTGGGCTGGGATCCCCGGGAGCTACTGCCAGGCTTCTGGGCCCCCGTGCCATCCTGCTCCCCTGGGGGCCTCCGACCCATCGCCCTGCTTTGGTGGCGTGTGGGGGGCGGGGTGCAACTCAGCCCTGCTCCCCGGCGTGCCCAGGCTGGGGCACAGCAGAGGCGCTACAGATCGCTCGTGCCAGCTGTGGGGAGGCCCAGACTCTCCATGCACCGTGGAAGCACAGAGCCGCCTCGGCCCCTTCCGGAAGCGCTGCAGGACAAGGAGTGAGCCAGGAACGCTGCTCCCCGTGGCAGCGCTGCGTGCGCAGAAGTGTGTGATCAGACGGGTGCTCCCAGGCTGCACCCAAAGGCCAGGGGAGTGGAACATCACAGCCCCGGTCTCCCTCCTTTCCCCCAGGAGCTCACAGCGACCTTGCTCCGCAAGCTGGGCCCCGGGCAGCGGGAGGTTGTGGAGGAGCTGTGCGTGCGCCTGCAGCGGAAGGAGAGGCTGCTGCAGGGTCTCCTGTGTGGGGAGCATGAGGCTGAACTTGGGGAGCTGTTCCGAGCCATGAGCGCCCGGGAGCAGCGAAGCCGGGTGAGTTGTGGCTGGGCTGGCTTTGTGGAGGCCGGTCTCCAGTGGCTATTGCCATGGGAAGAGCTGCAGGAAGGGTCTCGGCGGGAACACTCGTTAATGCCCAGTCAGTTACAATAGCAGCTCGCCCTGGTGGTCCTGTTGGCCTGTCCGCCTGCCCTGTGGAACCTGGGGGCACTTGCCTGCGTGTTATGGGACCGGGGAGAGGAAGGTGTGCGGCTCTCGGCTGTGCGTGCTCGCTGTGCATTGTGTCACCATGGGAGGGGGAACCCTGGAGCCCTTCCCCAGTGCAGTGACACCAGGCAGGCAGAGGGAAGTCTGAGCCGGGTGGAGCTGTCTCCCTGCATGGTCAGGAGGGTGGTGGTAGCTGTGTCGTGGTATGGAACAGTCGGACTAGTGCCAAGGACTGTTGCCACAGTCATCTTACCTTCAGCCTGGCCTGTGTTTTGTGTGTTGAAATCCTCCCGTTGGGCATTGCATTTCCCATTGGCACAGGGCTGAAAAGCCAAGCTCGCAGCATTCGCCTCCAGGCCCCGTCCCCTGTGCTCATCCCCTCTCGTCCCGGCCCTCTGCCCCAGGGCTGTGCGCTGCGGCCGCGTGTCCCCATCCCGGTCGGGTCGGGTGCGCTGCGGAAGGGGCCGAGGTAGCAGAGGGCTGGGTGGCAGTGCTGGCATTGGCTGGGGGGTGTGGAAGGAGACCGAGTCTCCTCTCGCAGCGAGTGAGCGGTACAGTTGTCCTTTCCCGGCCAGGCCCTGTGCCAGTAGCCAGTGGCCACCTGGCTCTTTACCGCTGCTTCTGTCCTCTCCCCGGCTTTCCCGCTGCACAGGTGGCTGCTGGGAAGCTGGTGCAGGCTCTGGCAGAGAAGAGCGACGAGGTACAATTCCTGCGCCGGCAGCTGGCAGGGAAGAGCCCCGCGGCTGAGGACAAGCAGCCCTTCCAAGTAGGAGCCGTGCACCGGCTT